CAAGATGTCTTAAAATGTATTTCTTTTTTAACATTTAAACTTAGACCACATTATTAAATTACCTTTTGACTTTATGAAAACATTACATTAATTACATTAAATATAAAATAGTGTTTAATTTTTCTAATAATGTATAATTACTAAATATACAGCATATATTGCTTTTGTGGATTGAGTCATCACTTCTAGCTAGTTAGCTAGTAGCTAGTTAGGGTTGAGGGAACATAAGGGAACACAAAACACATTAAATTTAACATGAACTACATATACATAAATATATATATATATATATATATATATATAAACATACTGTATGTATGTGTGTGTGTGTGTGTGTGTATTTTTCTACAATGATAAAACAGGAAACCACAATTTTTTTTTCTATTTAGTTTCTTGTGTCACTAAGAGGTTGTGCACAAATTGTTCTTTTAAACCGACTGATTGAGTTCACAGTAAACAGTCTCACAGTCTTTTTTGGCACACTAAGCTATAATGACTTCAGAAGACTGGAATATTTCCAGGGAATGTATGGAATAATTTATGAGCTCCTTTAATGTTCCAGTATGAACTGGGTGGTAAATTCTTAATTCGTGTCACACAGAAAAATAAACAGGTTTGGAACAAAATGAGAGTAAATAATGACAGAATCTTTCTTTTGGAGGTCTGAAGTTTTCCTTTAAACCACTGTATAAGTAATAGCACCTTATTTTAATAAATGCACCATAAACTTGTGCTATACCCTTTAATGATGAACGATGAATGTGTCATAGATGCCTGATGGTATGACACATGACGTTTGTGTTTCCCATGATTTCTTAAACGTTCATCTACAGGGAAATTAGTCATAAAGGGAACAATAACAGCATTTGACATAAAGGATGAACATGAGTTTTGGTGTGAAGCAAGGGGTGTTTTAGGTGTAAAATCAGTAGTGGTCATGGCGTGATCGTGGGAACGTTCAGCTGGACTGTTTGCATTACCACAGCTCACTACTTAATGCTTGTGGTCACTGAACTTCCTTCACAATGTGTTTTACACAAATGCATTGCTCCCGCGCTCATTTTTTCTCATTTATGCATTGTGACAATGATGCACGCTCCTCTGCAAACCTCATATTTCAATGCATTTCATTAAGATGTAAGTCTGCCTCATCCTGTCAAGGTTAATGGAGAAAATCCTAGCAGGCTGCTGAGGGCTGTAGATGGGTAATTTCAGGCGCTATGATAAGATTCCCATCATGTGTGGATCACCAAAGCCTGCTGAGATTCAATAAGACAGGACTGCATCATAATTTTAGCTCATTTTTAATTGCACGTTTGCAGCCAAGCTTGTGTGAACAACTGCACTTTTTTCAAGAACACTAGCTTCAGAAGCTTCCTACAGAGAAACTGTGCATCTGTATTTCCTTGAGCATTTATTTTGCACACCAGACCTGCATGATTGGTATGTTTCTCTAGTGTTTTAGACCAGCGTATTAAAGACATACGGCATGTCCTCCAGCACCTGTGCATGCTCCCCAGTGACGTCTGAAGGAGGATGATGAAAGATCGCAGATGTTTGTGCAAAGGATGGTAATTCAGTCCTGAGTAAAGGCGACACGGAGCTGCAGACTTAATAAGATCTTACACACTTTTTTCCTGAAGCGCTTAGCCGGCTGTTCCAGAGAGCTGTCTTTCTTCCTGATGTATAGAGTTCTGTAGCCCTGACGTCAAAACCTGAAAACTAATTCAACACTGGTTCCCTCGAGAATTTCCTACGGGTTTTAATAATGGGGATTTTCAACTCATGACTAAAACAAGGTCATAAAATGACAATACTCAGGGTTTCTGCAGGCTTTAAGAAGGTAAACGTAAGGCTTTTTAATGAGCTTTTAAGACCAAGTAAAGGAAATTTAAGAATAATCTGAACAATATAAAACAGGGAATAAAAAGGAACAAAATATGTCAGTATGATGTCTATGAATGTAAACGTCTCGGGAACACAACGAGTTGAATTCGCAACACTTCAAAGATTAAAAACACAACTTCCATCAGATCTCCATAGCTCAAGGATTGAATACTGTGTTCCCAACCACTGGAATATGGAAATAAATAATCATAACTTTCACTGTACCTGCTAAATGTGCTGTTCATCTCCAGTATTTGTTCTTGTTTTCCAGCACAAATGCCTAAAGATTATTCAATTGAGATACATTTAATGGAGAAGAAAAATGACTTAAGATAAGAAGTCTTGTTTCTGAGAAAGTGATCAAAATCATTAAAACAAGCACAGATATCAGCCAATGGGCTCAGAAAAATCTACTTAATTCAAAGGGAAGATAAGGTTTTGACAGATGTGTGTTCTTGTTTTAAGCATAAATGTACAGTACAGTACAGTATCTTGATTTAAGGATATTATATATTTGTTTAGGAAAACAAACCAAAAAGACTGACAAAAACGTTTATTTTCAGTGCATGCAAAATTGAATGCCACAACTTTATGATTTTAAGACTTTTTTGCTCTGATTTAAGACCTTATCAAGGCCTTAATTTGTGGTCATCTGATGAAAGGTTTGTCTTAGTGTTTTGGTCAAGCAAACCCATTTCATATCACATAATGCAATCAAAGAAAATGGTAGGACTATATAAAAATTCTTTGAAGTCAATATGATTTTTTATTAAGTAAATATGAATTCTGTCATCTGTCGTTCCAAACCCATATGACTTTCTTTCTTCTGTGGAACATGAAAGAACATATTTTTACATTTTAAAAGGATGTCATTGTTTTGTTCTTTGGGGTTATATTTTTTATACATTCTTTATTAATAAAACTAAAAGAAAAGCTATATTTATGATGCTGATCTCCTGAAGCTGCACAGAAAGAGATTGAGCGTGATCTGACAGATTCATCTGATCTCATGAAAGTCTGTGTGCAGCGTGGAATTACACAGGCTTTGATGAGCGATCACCGTGTTCTAGGTCAGTTACTAAAAGCGCTGGTCTCCTCGTTCTGTGCGTCAGAACAATCTAAAGTGAGCAATCGCCGGGTTCAGGCCCCGTTGAACTTATTCAACTTCTCTGGGACTTGCAATGACTTCAGGAAAACATAAAGCTGCTACTGAGAAGTTCACTGGTGCTTCTTATTTGATCTGTGCAATGCAGTTTAAACAGTATTACCCAGAACTACCTTGATCTTTTCAAACAGGTTAATGTAATATGTACACAACTCAAAACTTCCTTTGCAGACCTAAAGAGCCTTTACTGAAACTAGCTGCAAAAACAACTGGTCTAAATCTGTCAGCATGCGGTGACATCGGGCCTGTCCCCACACTCACACTTGTAACGTTGTTTCACCTATCAATTCATGTCGATAAAGTATAATAGGGTAAATCCAGTATAGTGTATGTCATTGTAAGCCCTCTTTTGAGGCATGCGCAAGCGCACGAACAGACTTGCACACTTACTTCCTGTCGCGCGCACGCGCTCTCAAGTGGCCAAGACCGCAAGTGTGGGTATTTGGACAAGGGGGTGGTCTCTGCGCTTGACCAATTGTCTACTTGCATGACGCATTTCCTGTATTTGGCCCAAGTGTTCAAGTGGACGTGAAGACCGCAAGTGTGTATGACTTTCGACTGTGCAATGGGACACACTTGCAACATAGTGTTGTAAAAGTCTAAGTAAAGTTTTTACTTTTTGTACGTTTAATTCTTTGCACTTTAAACCTCCAAAACTGTTGTTTGGTTGTCTCTATGAATGACAATTTAATTGTGGTGCTTTTTAATTAATAAACATTTCACAAATAGTGTGCATTAAGGACACAGAGCTTTGCTCTTACCCTCAAGTGGCCAAGCCCATTAATACAACATTTTTAATTCAACACGGATGAAAACAAGAAACAGGCGCTGTACTTCAGTCCCTCACTGCCTCATTTAAATTCCTGCCAGAAATTAAACATACACGCTACTCTGACCAACATCTATTAGCCAAGCCACAGTTACCAACAAAGGAGGAAGAAAAGTTTCATTTTAAACCACTGAACACACGATTGCTTTAAAACAACAGTTCAGTAAACAAAGTTATTATCAAGTAACTTACGTGCTAGACGCAATATTCCAAGTTATACTTTGTCTGGTTTGTCAATTGAAATTGTTCCAAACAAAGTCCAAACAGTGCCAACATTGTCACTGGTGTTTTGTTCCTGAATGAATCGCTGTTTTGAACGAATCGATTGAGTAAACGATTCAAATGACTCACTCATAAAGACGTCACGTCGCCACCTACTGGTGATGTGATGAATGACTCCCTGAAATCCCCACAAAATACACTGTAACAATGAACAAACACAAGGCAGGAGAGAGAAGTGGAAAGTCCAGCGCTGTTTGTCTGTGGTTATATCAGCTTTATTGTTTGGTGCAATAAAACTTTCAAAGTGGACCAAAAGCTCTTGTAGATAGGTGATATAACTGGAACATACTATAATGTGTGCCTTTATTTATAGAAATATTGTTAAAAGAGATGAATGATTTTGTAAATGATTTTGCCTCATTTTAATTAGACAGTAATATATAATCATGTCTGACAATTTAACAAATGTATTTTCAAAATCACTCACACACACAAATTTCTATGCATTACTTACCTTCTAATATGCTGATTTGCTGCTTAAGAAACATTTCTGATTATTATCAATGTTGAAAACAGTTGTGCTGCACAATATTTTTGTGGAAACTGTGATGCATTTTATTTTTCAGGATTCACAGATGAACAGCATTTATTTGAAATAGCACTCTGTTTGTAACATTACAAATGTCTTTACTGTCACTTTTGGTCCATTTAATGCATAATGGATACAATTAGTTTCTTTCAAAAATGTCTTACTGGCTCCAATTTTTTCGTATGATTGTGTACATGGTTGAATTTTTTGATTATCTAGAAACTGTACAACAGAGTCTCAACAATAACATCGACTACTAGAGCATTCTGATGAAATCCTTCCGCAATATGATCACATTTATTATCATCATATAAAAATATACATGGGAAGTGTTCCACACAGACAGACAGACAGACAGGAGTCCCATCATGCTACACAGCTGCCAAAGCCAAATAATACTGTCAGGATCGGAGCATCAACACAACACTTCCACACACTCGCTCAAAACACGGCGGGACCGTCAATCATGCAGCTACATTGTGACGCCATCATCGCAAAATAGAACACTTTGCTTCTCTTTTCAACATAAAGGTTTGTTTTTGCAATACTTCATCATATGTAAAAAAAAAAATCTATGCACATACATTTATATAGATATATATATATTTATACATTTATAAGCAAGGCATATTGTGTTCACCACTTCATGGATGAGCTGTATGATTGTCATATTTGTTTACATGGCTGGGTTCCTCGTTTTGTAATTTTTAAAAACTGATTGACATTAGAGGAACAGTAAAATATTTCAAACAATATATCATACTTAAAAAAACAACAACAACAACAGGCTGTTTTTACAAAGGTACAAAAGTGTTGGAAAGCTCAGTGAGATCTGTCCTTAATACTGAGAGAAGAGTCTGGAGTGTGATTGTGCTGGTCGGTGGAGGTCAGAGGTCAGAGGTCAGCTGTTAGAGACAGGAGGAGAGAGGAGGAGAAGACACAGAGGGAGAGGGAGAGCGGAGGCAGCGCGGCGGAGCTGATGGTGGACAGCTGGAGCTCGGAGCGGAGGAAGGCAGACAGAGGCACCTGGGACACCAGCGTCGGGCTGGCCGAGTTTAAGAGCGAGTCGATCTTCTCTGCCTCTTTACTGCAGGCTTCGATCTGCACAGGAGAGCACAGCACACGCTTCAGCGCCGCCACAAATAGGCCATTCAGTCCTTGCAGACAGCTTTAATATTTTTAGGCAAATCTGAGGAGCATCTGGAGCGTATGATGCAACCGCAGGAAAGACTCCTCCACGCGCTCCCGTCTACACTCACAGTTAGCCTGGGAACACAGACGCTCAGACCACTACCGAGTGCTTTCATTCACACTACACTGGCTATCGTTAAAAACCGCTTCATAGGAAAATAAAGTCTATGATATTAGTATGAGTGAATCATCTAGATAAAAGAATCATCTTTTCACTAGGGCTGTCTGATACATTTTTACTGTATAGAATATCAATGTCAAATTATTTATAAAATGTATATATTTATTTATTTATATTGTTATAGGTTGTTATTAAATATTTAACTGTTATGTATTAAATATAAATATGCTTTTTTCAGCTATTTTTACCTCTGTCAACATTCACTTAGTTAATCTCTAAAACACTAATAATTTAATAACGCTGTTAAACGTAAATCTCATTTAATCCCAATTATTCTCTGTTTTTCATATTGTGCGTTATATTGTTGTGACGTCTAAATTCACTTTTTAACTGACTGATTTTAGATTTGAATTTTTTTTTCTTTATCAACTTAATATATAATGAAATTATTAAAACAATTAATTAATTAATTTACTTAGACAAAATAAATAGAATCAGCCATTTACTGGATGTCGGCCATAATTCTCATTGTATTGTTTTGAATTTTTAAAATAATTTTAACTTATTTATTAACTTAATATATAAATAATTTTACAAATAACATTAACTTATTTATTAACTTAATTTATAATTAAATTACTTAATTAAACTGTTATTTTTTTATTTTTACAAAATGCTATAGAATCAGCCATTTACTGGTTGTCGGCCATAATCGTCATTATATTTTAAGATTTGAATTTTTAAAATGATTTTTTATTAAAGTAATATACTATTCAATTATTTAATTATTAATAAATTCAAAATTTATTCTGACAAAACACAAAAAATCTGCCATTTAAGGGTTATCGGCCACACCATGAAAATAACATCCCTAATTTTCACATTCATAGTAAACACAGCAGGTTCAGATGGAGATGAGTTATTTTATGTTTTATTAATATTACTGCATATTCCTGGATATTGATTGGTTTACATAGACGCTAGGGATGCACCAATACCAATACTGGTATCGGTATCGGGCCCGATACTGGTCTCCTGTACTCGTACTCGTATTCGTTCAAATGCCTCGA